GCTTGTCAGACTATGATATATTACCACTTCCTGTGTGGCACCAGTACTTGGCCTTCAGCCTTCTCTGTAAAACACCTTCAGGGAGGAGATGGCCTATCTCCTCCCCAGTTCACATCTGAGATGATGTGCGTCAGCTTCCTTCCTTTTCTGACACTAAACTTTCTGTAGTTCCCCTGGGAAATGGGATTTTGACAGTATCTTTATTTTACCACTCTGCATTTCAAAGGAAATTGTCACTTTCCCTATCCATAGAGCTAGTTAGTTCAGTAGTCTGAATACCTTAGTTTTTTTTTTCTTTTTCGAGAGAGAGGAACATTGTTCAGTTTCAGGAACAGGGAATTTGCAAAAGTTTTATGCACATTTTAGATGAATAAGAAATTGAGCAAGAGACCAGCAATCTGGCATTTGTGGGCCATTTTGCAGCATAAGGAGAATACTTGATGGAGCTGACAGTCTGGCTGTCAATCTCTTTCCTGACTACTGAACATCAAGAAAACCCAAAGAGGAGATTAGGATTCATGCCCTTATATTGGGATAACTGTTAACAATATTAGTAGTTAAATAAATTTTTTAGGTGTTGATAATGGATGACCAGTACTTGGCAGTTGTCATGGCTCTGCACTTGGGATTCACTCACAATGAGTACACCAGTGTTATTTTTAATGATGAGTATACATGAAAAAATATATACTTTGATCCAAATTGTATTCCCTCACATAAATAGAGATTGGGATCTGAATTTATTGATTCCCATAGTTCTTTTTCTGACATGGAGACATTAAGATGGAAAAAGAGACAGACAATGTAGCAAAATAGGTAATTCACTTAGGGAAGGAAATAAAGAATTTGTAAGTACCCACTATATGACACACACACTATAGGAACTTTTCAAGTATTATCTCATTTGATTGACATAACAATTCTGGGAGGTACATGCTATTGTTACCCTCAATTTGCATCTGATAAAATTAAGACAGGCAAAGATTAAGTGACTTTCTCAGTCATAAAGCCAGACGATTTCTGGGCCTAGATCTGATCTCAGATCTTATGGACTCCAGGCCAAATACTCTATCCACTGTGCCAACTATCTGACTCCAGAATCCAAGAAGACCTGGGTCCAAAACTGATCTTAAAATATATGGGCATTGGTAATTCACTGAACCAATCTGAGCTGCAATTTATTCATCTGCAAAATGGCAATAATAATAATGGTGCCTATTTCACAGAACTATTGTGAGGATCAAATGAAATAATCTCTCTTTCTCTCTCCACCTCTATACACACACATACCACACACACACACACTGTTCTGCAAACCTTAAAGCACTATATAAATGTAAACAAGCATTCTCATCTTTAGTGATTCAAGATTTTTGCTTTGGTAGCCATAAATATGCTCGTCCAACTATGCAGCCCATCTTGTTTAGTCATTTCAGCTGTAAAATTCATCACCCCACTGCCTGTCTAGTTAATAGCTCTATGAATTTAGTTAATTTTGTTCACATATTGCATCACTAAGCTCATAACATGAAGAAATCCTCAAGACTTTGAAGAGCTATCATATTAAGAGGGACTAACGTTCTGACTTCTTGCCAATATGACTAAGTAGGAGACAGACTGCCCACCTCATATATCTACTCTAGCAAAAACATGAAGTTCTTATCAGACCAAATCTTAATTAAGAAATCTTTAATAACAAGCTACCATAAGAAATTGCTTACACACAATAACTTCACAAAATTCTATTAGAAGCCCATAGAAGACTATAGGAATAATAAAGTGAGCACCAAAGATGCCAGAGACAGGATATGTAGCCTGCAAGATTCTGAGTGTGGAGGAAGCAGAGGTGGAGAAGGCCTCAGAATTCTGAGCCCCATTGTGGTCAGAAAGCTCCACAGTGGGGACCATAGAATCTCCTGAAAATAGTAGCAACTAGCATACTTCACAGAATGGCCATGGGCCCAGGCCTCAGTATTCTGATGTCACCACCGTTCTGTCCTAAGAAGTCAAAAAGGGCCCTGAAGAGCCAATGTATTTAACCAGAAAATCCAAGTATATTTAGCACTAGGAGATGGAGGTCAGTGCAAGAACCTAGAAAATACAAAGTAAGGCCAAAGATGGCTAACTAGCCCACCCAAAAGTGTAGCAGAATCGGAAGCCTGACCCTGGCACAAAGCCCCAGTTCAGAAGCTCAACCAGAGGTGAGTACATCAGAGAAAACATCAAAGAACATCAAAAATTATTGTCAGTCTCCAAATTCCCCCAATAGGAGAATCAAGTGACTACATGAAACCTGTAAGCAGAAACTCAAAGGGGAGAATTTTAAAAAAAAAAGACTTTCCAGATGAATATTTAGAAGAAATGATAAAAAAATGAAATAAAAATTCTTGAAGAAAGAGTTTAGTTGAAAGAGAAAATAAGTAATGTTGAAATAAAAGTTTTCCTTCAGCAGCTCTCCTTACCTTCCACTTAACGTAACACAGGGTCACTCTCAGGCTGTCAATCACAGGAAATCACTTCTCTGTGCAGAATGACTCAGGCTTTGATGCTCAGCACCTTCTCAACTCACCCTCAGCTGCCTCTCTCTTATGATTGGAGGACCTGAGCATGAAGTATTAAATTCTTCTCTAAGCTTTCCTTTCTAGGAGACTCACAACCTTCCAGGTAAGTCCATTTTCCATTAGCATCTCTAATTGGCTTGGACTCTAGAAAATCATATATGACCCAGGTTTGGTACATCATGGAGGCCTCATTCTCTCTTTTCAGCTTCCTTTTGTACATGTTTTCACCCCTTATATTGTAATCTCCCTAAAGGCAAGGACTCTCTCTTTTTTCTTATTTGTGTCCTAAGCACAATGTCTGTCACGTAGTTGACTGTTCTTTGTGCTTAAAGAAGACCAAAATGACATCACCATGTTGGGGTCAAAGTGTAGTATGTCTGACTAGGTTCTAACACAGTTCAAGCACAAATAGCCCATATGAACGTTTATAATGGAGATGGCTCTAAATTATCCACTGCAATTCTGTTTTGCTTTCAGATGACAGTGTCTTCTTTGATTCAGGCATGTCATGCTGGGCAGTCCTGCGCCAGTGTCTCCCATATCTCACAATTGCTTCCAAAGTTCTTCAGAGAGACCTTGAAAGTGTTCTTGTATTGCTCCTTCTGACCTTTGTGTAGGAGCTTGCCTTGTGTGAATTCTCTGTAAAATAATATTTTAATCAAATATACATTTAGTATCAGAGTCCATGGCCAGCCTATTAGAGTTGTGATCTCTGCAGTATAATTTGAATACGTGATAGTTCGCTGGAGAAAGGACTTCACTGTCCAATATACCTCATCTTAACAGGTGATCTGCAAAAATCTTCCTAAAACAATTGAAATGGAAGCAAGTCTATTTCCTAGCATAGCTCTGGTACACTGTCTTAGTTTCACAGGCATGCACCAGTGAGGTCAACACAACAGCTCTGTAGACCTTCAATCTGGTAGACAGCCTAATACCTCTTCTCTCCCACGCTTTGCTTCAGTTCCTCCCAAATGCTGAGCTAGCTTTGGCAAGACATGCATCAACCTCACAATCTATGTGGACATCCCCAGAAAGTAAACTGATACAGTAAGTGAACTTATCCACAACTTAAAAATTATTCCATTTGCTATAACCAATGGTTTGGTATCAGCTAGTGGAAAACCTCTATCTTCTTGTTGTTGTCAGGCTAAAATTAGCACAATTGACAGAGAATCAATCTATACTCCGTTGCATCTCAGCCTCAGAGGCTACTCTGAGTGCATAATCATCTGTGAACAAAATATGTCACACCAACTCTCCTTCTACTTCAGTCTTGGCTTGTAGCCTTTTCATATTAAATAATTTACCATTAGTGCAGTAGCTGACCTTGATGTTGTTTTTGTCATCATTGAAAGAATCTGCAAACATCACTGAAAACATCATGCTAAAAAGCATGAGAGCAAGCACACAGGCCTGCTTTAGCCCATTAGTGACTGGAAAAGCATGAGAAACCATTACTCAGAACCTGTACAAGGATGTCACCATAAAACTGGCGTACCAATACTAATGAATTTCTCTGGGCAAACAAATATTGTCATATAATTTTGGCATATTGTAAGTGCTTATAAATATTTATTCAATTAAATTGAAAGAAAGTGGTAAACCTTACCCCTAAAATAATCTTTTTCTAAAAACTAGAATGGATTAAAAAACAACAACAACAAATAAGGACAAAAAAATAGAACAAAGGCAAAGATTAAGAAAAAGAATTCTGCTATGTATGCATTGTAACTTTTTTTAAATGTGCAGAAGAGAAAAGGAGGATGTTCAGAAGGAAGCATAGAAAGGCAGGATAGTTTTGAAAGTGATGGGTAATATTTATTACATCTTTTAAAAAAGCGGTATGAAACAAATTTTCAATTTCATATTTCATCTTTTTGCGTGTTCTTATGACCATATGGAAATAATAGTTTATAGTGTTTGATTTGGCATTATTTTTTTTTAAGAAGTTGACTTTCATCTTTTTGGAATCAGGGAAAAGAACCAAAGAAAATTGGATAGAATTTGAAATGAGGCATATTTAGGCTTGATATCAATAAAAATTCTCAAATATCAATCGGTCAACAAGAATTTATTAATTTGTTACTATGCAGTTAGAACTGAGGATTCAAAAATATAAAATAGTCCCTGCCTTCAAAGAACATGTGTTCTAATGGAGGAAACAATATGTAAATAACTGGGTTTTAGAAGCCATTAAAAATAGAGACAGCACATTAGAAGTATCTAAAACTTAAATTAGATTTCTGAGAAATTTTTTGGGTTTTTCTTCCTGTGAAGTCTTCTCCAATTAGATTTCACCAGGTCTTTTTTTGTGTATAGATTTGACTAAGTGACCACTGAGCACTCTTCCAATTCTCATTCTTTGTTTGTTTGTTTGTTTGTTTGTTTGTTTCTTAGAAGCAGTCATTGTAGTGTGGGGGATGGGGGTGAGGAAAGTGCCAGGTTTTGAGTCAGGGGATGAAGGTTACAATCCTGAATCTAATGCTTTTCATTTTTGTAATGTCTAAATTACAAGGAAATTAAAAGAAAAAAATAGGAATATGGGTAAGTGACCTTAGGATCAGTGTTATCAAATTACAAAGTAACTTAGGTTATCTAGTTGGTTGGTTTGTTTGTTTTCAGCCAAAGACAAGGTTTATTAAAGATAAAAATCTGAACAGTGGCTAGATTATAACAATCTGAGCTAATATAGTATTTTTTAAACCAATTAACTGTTAAAATGGGAGAAGCTCCAGGTCTAAAAGGGGAGAACCAAAATGAGCCAGAGTCTGATCACACTTAACAAAGGTTACAGAAGTGTTTTATTATCTGAGGAAAGCTTGTAAGCTAAAACAGAGAGAATGTTTTCAGCTGCTCAAAGGGGAGTGGAAAAGTATGAGGTATTTATACGTATTTAAGTTATTTATGGATAAGTGGAGTTTAAGGGAGAAATACAATAAATCAGGAAGTCAGGCAGGAAGTGGGGCATCTATGAAGATGATATCTGTAAACACAATGAATTAAAAAGCAGGAAGTTTGCGGCTTTCAGATAAATCAGAAAGTAAGATGTTTCATGCTCTCTTTGAACTGTTAAAGACTGGTTTTGGCAATTACAGGTATCTCTGAGTTCAGCTAATATTTACTCACAAAGGAACGCTGGTATGTCAAGCAGTCTTGGGCTTCAGAAGTCCTCCTGATTGGCTGGTTGTTGTGCTACTACATTTTCTTGTTCTCTTTTGAAAAAGGGAAACTCTAACATATTTAATCAGTTAGTACAGTCATTATAGAGCCTGTATTCACATGTTGAACCCCCTTATTTGATAAAGAAGGAAGACAAAGCCTACAGAGGTAAACTGAATTGCTTTGGACACATTATCTCCTCCTTTTATTCCTTGGGGTTCCTCATTGTAAAGTAGTTGTATTGGACTAGAAGACCTATTAGTTTATAGGGACTGGAACGATGGTTTCATTGATATGAGGAATTCTAGAATGAACAACAACAACAAAGTTTACCAATGAAGTTTAGACTTTCTTCATAATTTATAGCTGTAAAGAGCTGCCTAGAACTTTTAAAATTTAAGTGAGCTGCCCAAGGTCATTCAGCCATTACATAGAATTCCAATATAAACCCAGGTTTCCAGATTTCAAAGGAAGCTCTCTATTTATTGAACTATTCAGGCTCTCCTCCTCTCAATCTATATCTGAGGATCCTATAGCTTTTCTCATTAATCTGCTTTTTGGAATTCAGTGTCACATTTACATCTTTGTGAAGCATTTGAGGAGGACTATAATGGAAGAGTGGGATAACATTCAAGACTTTTAATATTCCAGGCTTATGATGCTGATATAAGTCAACTACCAAATGATGAACAAGCTTCTTTGGTAATTCCTTAACTGTCACCTAGTCCCATCCTTCCCATACAGTATATGGATGCTTCTTACGACACTGCCAGTAAGTGACTGTCTAGACTCTACTTAAACATGTTGAGTGACAGAAAACTCTAACTCACAAGACAGCCATTTCCGAATTAGAAAATTGGGCAAATCACTTTACCTCTCACATCCTCATTAGTAAAATGAGGTGTTTGTACTATATAACACATAAGAACTCTTTTAGTTCTAAATCTATGATACTCTGAATATATGGAACTTTCTGAACAGTATTTCATGATCTACACATAGTCAAGAATCAATAAATTATTAAGTGCCTACTATGGGCTAGGCATTATGCAAAGCACTGGAGATACAAAAACAAAAAAAACAGATCCTCTTTCAAGGAGCTTATAGTCTACTGGGGAAAGATGACACACAAAAATTAATTGGAAGGTGGGGAAGTTAACAAGGGGGAGGTATAGGGGAGAGTAGGAGAGAGAAAGTACCTGGTATAGGGGTATGATGCAGAAGTACAAAGAAATCCAAAAGCAATGTAGCTGGTGGGAAATGGGGAGATGGCTGTGCTAAGCCTGCTACTTGAATAGAAGCCCTGGAACCCTTACCTCCAGCAGAGGTTCCAACCAGAGGGGCAGAGAATACTGATGAAATATATGAATACCAGGTAGGTTCAGTCTTGAAGCATAATGAGATTTCCCTGTGATGAGCCTTCTGGGGAAGGAAAATATAATGGAAATGTCTAAAGACATCCAAAATCAAGTGTAACCCATTTTCAAGGGAGACAGTTTCAAGTAAATAAGACTATATAGAATACATATACAGGATGAGGAAGATTATTTTGGCTATAACTTCTGCCCCCTACAATCTGATAACTCTTATGTGAGATGCCTTCAAAAATCAGAAACAAAAGGATGACATCAATGTTTATTAGAGAATATAGTGTGAAATGCCATCATGAATACCCCAAAGAAAAAGTGTTTAAGGACTTTGTGTATCGCTGATGTCTTTGTATGATATAGGGCAAATGCAATTTACTGGGTATTAAGTCCCTCTCCTGATACAAAGGAAGCAGAGATTGATCTTTGACAGAGAAATATGGTTCTCTCAATAATCATAGTGAGAAAGTGAATATAATTCTATCATGAAGAAGGCATCAAGAGGCACCAATCATGTATGCTTTCCAAGTGACACCAATCTGCATGTGATATATCTGGGTGCCTCATTAAATAATTTTGTTTCATCTTTTTTGCAACTCTTTAAGGGGAAGAAATACATTTGGTCTCCTCTGAAGAGGGATCTCCTAATGAAATGCAACTGTTTTTCAAGGGCAGAAAGAAAGACTTCAATGGCAGGACCAGCCACTGCCAGTTGTATTTGAAATCAAAGAAAAGTAATTAAAATAAGAAACACAAGAATAAACTGTGGGACTTTCAAATCACATAAACCTAAGTCTTTATTACCCAGTTAATCAATAGCTGGCACATCAAATATGGTCTGATTCCAGTTATGATATAAAACAGAATATTTAAAATGTGTGTGTGAGAGGGAGGGAGGGAGAGAGAGAGAGAGAGAGAGAGAGAGAGAGAGAGAGAGAGAGAGAGAGAGAGAGAGATTGCGTGTAGGCAGAATAGTACTAGCCAGTAAATTGAAGATCAGGTAAATGAAGATCAGGAAAACTATTGTACAGTGGTTTAAAAAAATGCTCAGTTTTTAGATCAATTCCTACATTCAACAGATATAGGTTAGAGACTGTACCTAGAATGTTCAAGTGTATGGGAAATAACCTATGTAAGGAAAATTCCTCTGTCAATGCATGTCAGCAAGTATGCTCCAACTTATATTTTAAAAGAGCCGCCTAGAAAGCTGATAAGTTAAGTGATTTGTTCGAGGTTTTAGAGCCAAACATAGTAACAACAACAACAATGATATTAACAACAAAAATAATGACAATAACAATAATAATACTACATAGCATTTATGTAGTGATTTAAAGTTTGTGAAACACTTTGCAATTATTTCATTTTATACTCATACCAGCCCTAGGAAGTAGGTACACTTACTATCACTATATTACAGATGAGAAAACGAAGCCAGACAAAGGTTGAATGACATGCCCAGGGCAAAAGGGCTAGGAATTGTCAACACTTGAATTTACGTCTTCCTGACTAAGATTCAGAACTTTATGAATAATGCTGCCTAGTTGCCTTGTATCAAATTTTAGAAGGGAAGAAATGTGAAATAAGACAAAAGAGGTTATTTGGAACTGATTGCTGAGGTCACTAAATATAAAGCAGAGGAGTTTGGATTTTATCATAGAGGCAATAGGGAGTCAAAAGTTTGGTGAGAGGGAAATTATAAAGCCAGGTCCAGATTAGTCAGAATAATGTATCCTATAAAGAGGTGGCATTATTAGAATATATACTATTAGTAATTATATGTAAAAAATGGTAATTGGTTCCATTGCCATAGAAATATGCAACAAAAATTCAAATACTGTGACCATTTCACAAGATTCATTATTCCACATTAGGACATAGTTGTATGGTCAGTTCTGTGCCTTAGTAAGATTATTCCGGCAATTGGGAGAGGATAGATTGGGGATCATGTAGACTGACTTCAAGAAGAACATTGAGGTGACCATTAAAATACTCCATACCGGATAGGACAATATGTTGAAATAATATGTAGAAGAGTGAGTGGAGTAGAGAACAGGTGAAAAGCTGGATCCATCTAGAATCTTAGTCTCAAATAGAAATGGAGTCCACTCCTCCCTATATAAGGATCTTTATAGATTCTGTTTTGACTCAGAACACCACATATTAATATTACCTATGTTTTGTTGTAAATACATTCCTGCATCTCTAAGTGACTCCTGGACATATTCATCTTGTAGCCCTATAAGTATCTAACACTTATCCTACCCAAAAGAAAACAGCATCTCCTCATTTCCCCTCCCAAAGCCAACCTTTTGCCACATTTTCTCATTTCTTTTTAGGAAAAACTATTTCACCGTTTATTCAAGTTCATAAAATTGGAGTCATCTTTTGTTTTCCCCTTTCTCTTATTGAATATACCCAATAATTTCATAGGACTCGATTCTTCGTCTCTAATCTTTCTGGATCTCAGTTTCCCTTCTTCTCACTCACATGGTAACCATCCTACTTTTGACCCTTTTTCACCTTTTGTTTAGACTATTGTGATAACCTCTTAAGTGGTCTCCCTGCTTACAGGCTCATCCCTCTTCAATACATTTTTCCCCAAAGCCGCCAAAAAACAAAATCTTCCTAAATCACATCTCTGCACATATCATTCCCCTCTTCCAAAGCCTGCAACCCTTCCTTCTTATCTCTCCAACAAATTACAATCTTCTTAGCTTAATCTTTTAAATTAATTCTCTTCCTTAAAGGTTAAGAACAGGTTCTAGCTCTTAGGAATTCTCTGATGACCTGAAATTATATCACCTTATTATATTATGAACTACTTGCAGGCAGAAATTGTGTTTTTGACATTTAGATGCCTATCACAAAGCATAGTAATAGATATGACAGGTGATTACTGAATGTTGAATTATTTGAATCAGTGGTATAAGTCAGAGTTCTAGACCTAAGCTCCAAGTCTAGATTTGCCATTACTTCACTTCATATTCTTGGGCAAGCCACTTAATTTCAATAGGCCTCAGTCCTCATCTGTGAAACAAAGGGATAAGGCTAAATGATTTCTAAATAAAATGATGTCTTTAAGAATTTCCTTTGGCTTTATTATTTCCCAGGAAGTTATATTTTTAAAAGTAATCTCTAAAACTAAAATGGAAGGGCAGCTAGGTGGTGCAGTGGATAGAGCTCTGGCCTTGGAGTCAGGAGGACCTAAGTTCAAATTTGGCTTCAGACACTTGACACTTACTAGCTGTATGACCCTGGGCAAGTCACTTAACCCGAACTGCCTCACCAAAAAGCAAAACAGAGCAAAACTCTAGAATGGATATGTGATCTCATGAGTTCTCCCTCCAACGATAGAGAGTACAACTCTCACGTCTACCCAAACCATGAAACTCTTTCATGTCTGCCCAAACCATGAAACTATTGTCCCATAAATCCACTTGAGCAGATCCAACCAATGTGCTGGGACCCTTCCTTGTTTTCCTTCAATATTGCCTATATACCAAGTAAGCACAGAAGTTGTTTATCAATTATCCCTTGCTCTTATTCTGAGAAATCCAACTATTTTTTCCAGTCATACATTTGGTCGATGAGATTCTTTTTTATACCACTTTTCCTGTGTAAATTCTCATCTGAAACAGGTTGCAAACTGCTTGAGCCCACTGTGGACCATCCCTATTATCTTTGAGACTACATAATGTAGTTTGAAAGATGAATGAAATAGTAGGAACAAAAATTCTTATTGATTCCCTGAGCAAAGGAATACATTTGCAATTTTTCTACTTATAAATTTCCTCAAATTTTTTTTATTTTTATTTACAGTTTAACTAATGTTTGCTTCGATGAAAGATATAGGTAGCTTTCACATGAATGAATGAACACATGAATGCATGAGTTTATTATGTTAGGGATAAATTTATAAATGCATAGTAATTACATATATGTTAATTTATAATGTATAATTAGAAAAATGTTTCTCTTCATGTTTTCATGAAGTTATAAGCTATACTTCAATGACAAAAATGCTGAAAGAATGTGATTTAATATCCTGGAAAACAAGTTATACCAGTTCTGTTCTGATGATTTTGTATCCTTGCTAGGTTTTTTTTTAGGTTGTTTTTCTTTGTTTTTAATAAACTAGCCTGAAATGTTGAATATCATGCTGAGGATTATATTGGTAATATCAAAAGCTAAAATTGGTGCTTGATTTTCAGCATTGCTCTACAACAGATAATATGTGACTTGGTAAATTACATTTTGTGTAATTAGATTTTCTTTTTAGAGAAAACTTTAAAGTTTTCCAGAATATGCCAATAGAAAAAGCTGCTCAATTTTCAAAATTACAAAAACGTTTTTCACAGGCAGAATTTGCTGGCTCTGGTCACCAGTCAAGCATCTGCCAAACACTTCAACATGGAGGTGAACACACTACAAAGGTTTCAACAGGGCTGCCAGGATCAGTTTTGCTTCCCTTATCCCTGACAGTAGCCTTAATATTGATGACAACATCAAACTTTCTCTGGCAGCAATTTAGGAAATGTGCAGAAAATCTAGTAGCCCCATAAAATACAAAAGCCCCCCTCTCTGAGAACTAGAGGGCATAATCAATCCATGATCACATTAGAAGGAGAAGAATCATTTAGGATATTTGAGGTACTCAACTGACAAGAAAGTTTCATAACAAAAGCACTGCTAGCAAGGAACTTTGTATGCCATCCTAGAAGGCAATGGCTAAGTGAAACATTTTATTCCTTGAATGAGATTTCAAGAGTCACAACTGGGAATTTTTGTCTCTGGAGCAAGATCAAGAAATTGGGAGGTACTCACCCAGATTATAGTTACTGGGAGGAGAAAGCAACAGCCCTGTGATGCAGCGAGCTTTCTGCTTGACGCCTATAGAGACAAGAAGTATATGGTCTAGAATTACAGATGCTTGGGGATGCTGCTACCAATACTCCCTAAATATTGGTATCCTGAGACAGAATCACACCCTAGTTATGATCCAGTTTAGTGGTACGTTGAAATTTCTTCAAGACACAAGGTCTACAGCTGGGAAAGATTTTAGAGAATATAAAATTCCATCTCCTCATCGTCCAAATAAATTAATTGAGATGCAAAGAATTTCAGGGAATTTTTTCATGTCACACAGACAGTAAGCAATGTTTCTAGAATTCAAAGCAGATGCTTGATTTTGTCACTTGGAGTGAGTGTTCTGCAAAATCCCAGTAATCCTGTCTATGTCATGAGTCTTGTCAACCTAGTGGTTCTTCCATGCAGCACATAGGAGACCACTTGATTGCAGGCCACTTTGCAAAAGACCTTTGCCTAATATTTGTGAGTAAGTTTTCCATAGCTGTTGGGGATTTAGGGACTGCAATGGTAATGATGATGTGCACTCTTTTACTAAAACAAGTGCTCAATAGTGAGAGGCAAGGCTTAGGCTTATTTTGTAAATTAAAATAAGCTGAAAAAGTGAAAATAAAGGTGTTTGCCCCCAAAATTAAAAAAAAATTAAACAAAAATATCAGCATCCCAGGTAGCAATATTAAATATATATATATATATATATATATATATATTTACACATACATATAAATATACATATATGTGCATATGTGTGTGTATGTATAGTGCTCCCTCAACTGCCTGTTATCCTTCTATCATTTTTTTCAAGAAGCTATGACCCAAAGCTGAAAAGTAGAGTTATGTTGTTATGATCAAAACCCACTAACCTGATACTGCCAGTATCTTGCATGGTAGAAACACATTTAAATGATAATAAAACAGCAGTACAAGAAGATGCTCCAGTTCATAGTCATTTCAGAATGAGAAAATATAGTGTGCCTTGACTGTAACTGCTGTCAAGCATTTAAATTGTCCTTCCCTGCATATTTATTCTAAATTTATTTTCAGTACAACTTGTAATGGTGTTACTAACCAGTGAGCAAGTCTGAATACCAGAGAACCAAAGAGGGGGAAAAAAGCATTTTTAGTTACATGAGAATCTTTTTTTTTTTAATGTTGGAAATTCTGTTCCTACTACTATGCTTTTTGGAGGTTCTGATTTATAATGGTGCCACTGATTATTTAGTGTATTATCGAGAAATAACAGTGTAAAGTTGCTGCTGATTTACCAAGTACTTTATGCAAAGCTCTAGGAAGAGATTTAGCTCAAGTCCCTAAATAATGCCTCTCCTCTCTAGAGCTTCTGAAACTGACCCTAATTCACAATGTCAGTTTGGCTACTAGAGGCTTCTGAATCAAAGGAACTTTCATGAATATAGATCTTGCCATAGCACCCACACTCTACACCAAAGATTTGACATGCCAGAGCAGAAGGTGCCAAGAGTGGCAGCCAGGCATGGCAGGTGGATTCACAGTTCTTTCCAGCTGTTCAACTCTCACACAGCCTGCCATGGCCCAACCTATTTCTGATGTTGACAGAATTACTATTAATTTTCAGTAGATTTCAGTTGAATCACAGAAGGAATATATATGTGTGTATGTATATATATATATATATATATATATATATATATATATATGTATATGATGGCATGATAGGGAAGTAAAATTCTATAAAATTGTGTCTGGTTTTTCCAAGTATACATTATTTTTAGGTCATGCATGTATTTTGGAGAAGTATGGAGGATTATTATTTGTAAAGTTTCTTATTTATTGGTTTGGGTCATCCAAATTGGACCATTCATACAACCATTTACAAAATATTTATTACAGGCCTACTATGTATTAGGCAGAGATGAATATAGAAATTAAGACAAAATTAAACAGTTCCTGCCCTCATGGGGCTTCTTTTTTTTGGGGGGGGAGACAGCATATATAAGTGCAACACATATACATAATAAATAGAAAGTGCAACACACATAATAAACAGAAAGAAGTGGGGGCACTAGCAACAGAACATCAGCAAAGGCTCATGTGACAAACTAAGGCTTGAAAGAAACTAGAGATTGGAAGAAGTGCACCCTAACCATTACAGGCAGTCTAATAAGTAAAGGCATAGAAATGAAATGTCTTTAAAAGATTATAACATGTGCAGCTAGGTGGCACAATTCATAGAGTACTGGCCCTAGAGTCAGGAGGACCTGAGTTCAAATATCACCTCAGACACTTGACATGTACTGGCTGTGTGATCCCAGGCAAGTCACCTAACCCCATTGCCTAGCCAAAAAAAAGTTATAATTTTTGCATTCTAATTTCATCAACATAAAACCTCTTTACTCTGAAATGTTGCCCTTTAATAGATTTCAGGACTTTTTTTTCTCTTCAATCTAATTTTAAATGAGCTATAAATCAAGCCATGTAATGTCTGTATACCTGTAATAGACAATAATATTAATAGATAATAGCACAAAAGCCAGTTCATGCATGTTACTTTAGATAAATTGAATTTGCTTCCACTGTTTTCATTTGTACTTATCTTGCCTCTCTATTGTCCTCCTCTGCTTCTAGGCCTCTGTTTTAATGCCAGAAACAGACTTTGTGCCTTGATGAATGAACTCTGCCAGAGCTTTAAGACTTTGATCCTTATGTATCTCTTTAGCTAATAATGAGAATTGTAACTTCCTAACAGGTAAGTCCTTAACTCTAGTGAGAAAAGAAATTTTGCAAAAGGATTAATAGACCAAGAGAAACCAGTCACAAAATTGTTTGCTTGTTGACGCATAGCAATAATGTTATCAGTTATTATTAAATTTATAAGTTATTTAATATCACTATATTTTGGAAGACATAAGGGGGGGGCAAGTTCCATATATTAATGATTCAGAGTCTTGGAAATCAATAGTGCATAATTTGAATAGTCAGCCTACTGATATTTGTGATAGCTCATAGATAGCCTTGAAAGCATCATCATATTTAGGTCTATCCCCTAGATTCCCCTTTCTTTTTCCTGTCAGTTCCCTTCATTTTGTGATAGAGATGCCTTTTCCATTATACAGTTTGAAATGGCATGTGAATATTCAATTCAATACTTTGAACTAAGTCTGTACTCTGGAAACCAGATGTCCTTGTATGCAAGGCTTATATGTCACTGCCCAAGGATATTTTAGAGACAACAGTGTTGATGTAATGGAAAGAATGCTTAACAAGAAATAACTTGGAGGGGCAGCTAGGTGGCACAGTTGGATAGAGCACCGGCCATGAAGTCAGAGGACCTGAGTTCAAATTTGGCCTCAGACCAAACACTTGACACTTACTAGCTGTGTGACCTCGGGCAAGTCATTTAACCCCAATTGCCTAAAAAATAAAAATAAGAAATAACTTAGGTTTTGGCTGTGGGAAGAGCAGAATATGAGCTTTGACACTGCCATTTATGTGCTGTGTAAGCTTGAGAAAGATATTTACCCTAACTGAGAGTCATAGTTTTTTCATCTGTGAAATAGAATAATTGTTAGGGGGTAGGGGAGAGAATGAAAGAGGGTTGCAGTGAAAGATATGTTATATTACTAAATGCTGTGCCTGTTCTTGGGTTATCCTGAGCAGAAGTGACCACCAGGTTGCCAAGTCAGTGATAAGAAACAAGCTAGACCAAAACTGAACTAAGAATGAATTGACAAAACTGAGTTGGCACACTAGAGCCATCACCTTGTCAAAGGAGCTTGAGTGTAATCTAGGATGGAATAAGCATGGGAAAGATCATGAACACTGCATTAAATAAAAATGGGGATGAGAAAACAAGATTGCTGAATAGTGTTGGAGAGAAGCTGAAGCCCATGACCATGAAAATTGTAAAAAATCAGCAGCAACTAGATGGCATGATGGCTGGAATGTTGTGAATGGAGAAAGGAAGACCTCATTTCAAATGCAGCCTGAGACACTTCTTAGCTCTTTGATGCTAGGCAAGTTATTTAACCATTCTGTGCCTCAGTTTTCTTTTTCTATAAAAAGTTGATAGTGATAACATTTACCTCATAATGTTCTTGAGGATCAAATGAGATTATATATGTAAAGTGTTTTATAAAACAAAACAACATATAAATGTTCATTATGATTTATTTATTAAATGTTTATTATAAATGTGTGTATGTATGTGTGTGTGTGTGTGTGTGTGTGTGTGTTTTATAGGGATGTGGAGAGAATTAATCTATGTGTCTGAGGCAAATTCATTCTTCCTACCTTTAAGCTGCAGCTTTGTATGATACGATATATTAAGAGACTCTGGGCCACGGGTTACATGTTAGAGACTCATTCAGAGTCTCTTAATTTTTACATGAAGGTAAGGAGTTGGTCATCTGTATTTGCTTATGAGGTTTTTTGTTTTTCTTTTTTACACTCTAACACATAATCAGTACACAACTGAGATATGTGTATACTCTTTCAATTCCTATTGAGGAATTGCATGACATCTCCCATATCTATTTTTAAGTTATATTCAAGTCCTTTAGGTTTTTCTCATTTATTTTTGTTGGAATTTTCTCGATCTGAAAAGGAAATACTGAGGTCCCCAAATATAATAGTTTTGCTACCTATTTCTCTGTTTTATTTAATTGCTTTTCCTTTACTTACTTAAATGCTATGTCATTTGGTGCATATATAGTAAGTATTGAATATATGTATAAATATATTTATACACACAGCCACACATATGTATGTATGTGTGTATGTGCGTGTGTGTGCATGTGTGTGTGTGTGTGTGTGTGTGTACATTAAAATCTGTGACTTAGTGGCTTACAAAGCTGGCCTCAGAGTCAAGAAAGTCTAAGTAAAATTCTTTTTATAGCACATCCTGCTATACAACCCTAAATGATTAACTTTTAACCTCTTAGTATTCTAGGCAGTTTTCTGAGACTCTAAATTAAAGAGAAGTTGCTAATTTGAATTTGTAGATGGATTTTATATAGTTTTATATTATATCAATGAAATTATAGTTTCAGTCCCTACTCTTGCTATTTCATTATCTACGGCAATCATACTGACTTTGCTTGTTTGTCTATTTCAATTGTTCTCTTGCTTGAGTATAAATGTCACCCCTGCTTTTTATTTTGCTTTACCCATTTGAGATGGAATAGAGTCTAACCAAATTCTACATTTTATATCTAAGTGTTTCTTGTAAACATCATATTATTGGATTTTGCTTTTTATGCCATTCTTCTACCCTCCTAAATTTTATAGGTGAGTTCATCCCATTTACATTTATAGTTATGATTATCAACTATGGGTTTTCATTCCATCATTTGCAATTAATATTTTTGTGGTTTTTGCCCCCAATGATCTCACTGCAAAGTAGAGGATTGTAAAAAAAAAGGAAATGAGCAACAGTATTAATCTACAAATACTACATATACTTTCAGATGTATTAATTGGTTTTGCTGATTTTTTTTCTTTTTTTCCCTTTTTTCTTTAAAAATACTAGTTTATGAGATAGCTCTCTAGTAAAGGGAGTAATTCTGAAAAAAAAATAGATATTAGTATAAAATATTTTTATAAAAAGAAAGAAATCTACAGTTTCAGTGCTTTGCTCCAGCTCCACTGTCCTTCCTCTTCCCTCTAGCCCAGACACTTTTTCTTCTACTTTCCTTATCCTTTTGTAAGTTATTTTAATCTCTCCTTTATGACCTGTCCTTCCATGTTGAAATTTATTTCAATTGTGTGTTCTCTCCCTTATTCTACTCTCTCTTTTAAATCTCCCTCTTTCCGAGATCAAACAAATGGGAAAAGGACCCACACATACAGAAATATTCATAGCAGCTCTTTTTGTGGTGGCAAAGAATTGGAAATTGAGAGGATGCCCATCAATTGGGGAATGGCTGAGCAAGTTGTGGTATATGAATGTAATGGAATACTATTGTGCTATAAGAAATGATGAACAGGCTGACTTCAGAAAAACCTGGAAAGACTTAAATGGTCTGATGCTGAGTAAAGTGAGCAGAACCAAGAGGACTTTGTACACAGTAACAGCCACATTATGCAATGACTGAGATTGTTAAACTGAACCCTTGTCAGCATTACAAGGATCTAAGTCATCTTCAGAGGCCTCGGGATGGAAAATGCTGTCCACATCCAAAGAAAGAACTATGGAACTCGAATCTCTATCACTTATTTTTACCTTCCGTTGAGTTTTGTTTTATCTTTCTAATGGTTCCTCCTATTGGTTTTAATTTTTACTTACAACTTCACTAATGTGAAAATATGTTTAATGGGTATGTAAATGTAAAGCCTATATCAGATTGTGTGCCCTCTTGGGGAGGGTGGGGGGGGAGAAAGGGGGAGAAAAATTTTCAACTCAAAAGCATATGGAAGTGATTGTTGATAAATCAAAATAAATTAATAAAATTTAAAAAAATAAAAAATAAAAAAATAAATCTCCCTCTTTCCCTATTCATGTTTCTTTCCCTATCTAATTTATTGTATTTCTATAGAAAAGTCTCTGCCTGTTAAACACTTTTTAAAAATTCGCTTGTGAGAATCATGAGATTTCTGCTCTTCATAACCTTCTCAGTTAGTATGTTATTTTAATCACTTGTTCCAGTTACAATTTCTTTCTTAATATATTTCCTTTCTCTTTCCCTTTCCCTTTGCTTTTCCTTTTCCTTCCTCTTTTAAAACTAAGAAACTGTAAGGAAATCACACAGGCCCTGTTGTCTTTCTTAATGCCTTCTGTTACCCTAGAAGCCTGGGATTCAGAAAGCACACGTCTACCTGCCTCCTATTTGAATGTAAGCCTTCTGTGGCCCATTTACCTGCCACTATCTTCTCCTAGAACATCCAGTATAGAATGTCTTACTAATTTCAAGTCCTGTTTACCAGAGGTGAGACTAGCTTCCAACCTGCCTGGGAATTCCCCACAGGCTTCTTTTCTCATTTACCTGTATTCCTTCAATATAATTCCTCTTCCTCACTCTTCCTGCCACTTCCTCCAAACTTTGGGCCAGCTTCTTGTATAGCCCTAGGTTGTATGACAGACCATGTTACTATCTCTTTTTTTGGATTTCTTGATCACTGCTTTATCTGGTATCCCTTTAAAGCTTTGCTAGAAAGTATGTGACAGAGCTTGGCTTCCTTATGAACTTTTATGGTGGCATCTTACCCCAAAGTCTCTGTTTCCTCTTCTACTTCATTTTATGTAGGCAGTGGAAGATGGAGAGTGAGGGGGATTTATGGCAAAAGAAGGAATACACAAAAGGAGAGAAGGTGGAGAGGCAACATCTGGCTTGTTTCTGATTTTGCTTTTAAGTTTGTGATTACTAGTGCACAATGAATGTTCTAGGCTCAATATTTTAAGACTTAGAATTTCAGAGGTGGATTGACTTTAGGGATCATTTAGTCCAACACCCTCTCCCCCCATACATTTGATAGAAAAGGAAATGTTTTTGTCGAAAAAGTCGGATCCGCAGAGGGGATATGACTTACTTTAATTAATATAGTCAGATGCAGGCAGAGTCAAGCTAAGAAATCAGGTCTCCTGACTGTCAATGCAAGGCTGTGCAACATGATCTCTAAGGTCAGCATTTGACTAAGGTTGATAACTACAGCTGCAGAGGGACATGACTCCAAATGTTTGTACATTTGTGTACATTTTTTAAACAGCACAGTAGCTGTGGAGAAGGTAATCTACTTCTCAGTGAGTTTGTT